TTCTGCAAGCAGTCAAGCAGATTTCAGATAAGGATGATTCCTCTCTCTCTCTCTCCCTCTCTCTCTCTCTCCTGGTTGCCTGTTGTACAAGAGAAAAAGAAGACAGTGTCAGGAAGATAGTAAGCAAAAGAAAAAGGGGCTAACAGAGAAAAGAGGGAGAACAGGAAGAAAGAAGATGGATGGTTTCATACACATCTTCAACTCTCCCTGCCATTTCTGCAGGGCTCCAAAAATATTATCCCTGGGGGAATGTATTGCTTGTGGGGGGGAAAACATTGCCCTCCCTGGGATACATGTCACATGAGATCATTGGTTTTCCCAAATATGCATTTGCAAAGACGGAAATAAGGTTAGGTAAATCCTTCTTATGACAGCCAATTTGGTGTAGTGGTTAAAGGCACCAAGTTAGAAACCAGGAGATTGTGAGTTCTGGTCCTGCCTTAGGCACGAAGCCAGCTGGGTGTCTTTGGACCAGTGACTCACACTTGGCCCAGGAAAAAAGAGGCAAGGGCAAACCACTTCCAAAAATGTTGCAAAAAAGGCTCTTCAGGGATGTCTCCATGTACAGGTAGTCCCCGGGTTAAGAATGCCCAGTTTAAGGATGACCCATAGTTAAGAACAGAGCCTACTGTAGCAAAATTTGAGTTAAATGCACAATGATTTGAATTAAATACATGATGGTTTGAGTTAATTACACAAATACAGTATTATACAATAATACTGTTCCAGCTTACATACAAATTCAGCTTAAAGACAAACATTGGGAACAGAACTTATTCTTAAACTGGGGACTACCTGAAGTCATCAGAAGTCAAGATTGACTTGAAGACATCCCCCACCCCACCCCACCCCACCCCAAATCCTTCTTATATTTGTTCTCTGAAAAATCACAGAGAAGTGGATGAATTTGAAGGAAGTTTATAATAGAAAATTATTATATTTAATTTTATTTGTATAGTGAATTATTTTAATAAATGCAAACAGTGCATTTGGAACTCTCACATAAATATTGGGGATCATTCTTTCACATGCCTGCTAATTATCCTTTGCTAAAGCTCTCCTCGGGCCACTTTCCCTGATGTTTGGCTTCTCCCTGATGTTGTAACCTGATTAAGAAGAAAACAAGCTGGAAATGCTGTGGGACATATTTGCATAAAACTGGCAGGTAGGAGAAGGGTTAAGCATTCTCTCCTAATGGCCAATTACCTGCTAAGTCTCCTTTGCCAGCATTACTAGACAAACAAGAGGGTTAGGAACCCACATTTGCAATGCAACATGCAATTTCACCCTCTGGCATTTCTAAAATGGATGCAGCCCAGGGGTACTCCAAAGAAACAAGAAGTTAACATACTCTTTGATTTGAGAGAAAATAGCTCCAAGGTATTCAGTTTGTTGTAATACGTGTTTTCACAGAGGTTAAATCCAGATAGCGCCTCGCCAATAAGCATTCTTGAAACAACTTACCTTTTTGGCATGACGTAGTTTACTCATGGCAAAAGTTAAACTTTTTAATGTGTACAAGCTTAAAATATATGTTTGATTTTCTTGGGTATCTCAGATGTAATGCTAACTGCTAAATGAGGACAAATTCAGACCAGAAATACAGTAGTGTAAGTAATCTGAAGAAGAGGGGCACTGGTTTAAAAATGTTACTAGTAGTTCCTTCTTGACTCTCTATTATGGAAGCTGCCAACTGTTCTTTATGTGAAAAGACTTCTAGACTTTATTAGTCTAGGATGCAATTTGGTAAGGATAAGGAACTACTGATCGCGTAGTTGATCATATTTCCGCTTGTTTTAAGGCTATTTTAACTTTTATTCCATTGTCATTTTTTTATGTCAATATCAGTGTTTCAAATTATATTGATAATATTAGTGTTTTGTCTAAAAACATGAGTAATAAGGATAAATTACTGTTGCATATGGCAATGTATAAAAACAAGTCTATCTGTATGCTACCCAGAGTCCACTTATACTGAGGTGGCAGATAAATCTCACAAATAAAAGAAAATAATTAGATGTACAGCTGCAGTTCTGCTGAATATTGTCATTTGCATACACATGTGTAGATTGCTCTTCTAGTAAGGAAACAGTGGGATGTCAGGGAGAAACTGAGAAGAGAAAAAGAAGAAAAGAGAAAACTGATATCATAGAAGATAAAGGAAATGAAAACTGTAGAGCTACTGTTTCATTGTGGACCCTTACTAGCAGTCTAGCAGTAGATATATACAGTACCTGAGCATATTGTTTTACATAACTTGTTTATTCCATGACAGAATGATTGAGGGAATGGTTAGTAAACATCATGAATCAAGTAAATATCATGAATCAAGGTCAGCTGATTATGAAATGCATTTACCTCTGTTGTTCCATATCTATGGTGCATCAGATTTATTAGGTACCCATGAATATAAAGGATTGTCTCTCATTTTGGAACATCACTGTCATGTACAAGACGTGCATTTATTATTTCTCATGCAACAGCTCTTGACTGCCCCTTAGTTTTCAACACTCTACTCGGATGATTCTAGTTATGTGACATGGATGAGCCTATTGTGTTAGAATTGCAAATAAGTTGGTAAATATGCTTCTAACAGAATGAGTAACTTCTTCATTGATATGATGAGTTTTTATGCACACATACAACCCCTTTATAGCACCGTATTTAAAAAAAAACAAAAAACTATTGAGGAGATATAAGAACCCAAACCAGAGCAACTTTATTTATTTATGAGTATCTATAAACCACCAAGTTCCCACAACTCCAGGTGATTTACAGTAATATGATTAAAACAATATAACGTCGCTAAATCAACACAATACACTATATCAAAATAGTCACATCAGTCCAGGGATCATGGCAGCCCATTGATTAAAAATACAAAAACCAGTTAACCAAACGCCCATTCATATAATACTGTCTTAATGGAATGTTGAAGACAGGGTGATAGTTCTCCAATATGGATGGCTGGAAAGATGGCTTCTTCAAGAGAGGATACGCCACTGCCTCATACAGACTCAGACTTATGATTAGTCATATCCATTTTGTCTTTTGCTACTTGTGAGGGATGGTAGGCTCACTGCGAGGGAAATTAGACATAAACAATCAAGAGACAGAATGGATGTCTGTCGGTTGCTTATTTCCTGGGAAGAAGTTTTTCAAATCATTTAGAAGTTTTGTTTCAATGAACTCATTATAAATGAGTCTTGGAAATTCTTCTTACAGTTTCCAAGATTCTGTATTTACCCCAAGACTAGCATTAAACCTATCTGAACTTTTTCTAATTCTTGCTTCTTTAGTCTTGCCCAGCTGTGCGAGTCTTGACACCACTGTTCTCCTAGGTGTTTCTTCACTTCATTTCCCATAGTTTCTCAGGAACATATTATTAAAATTCTGGAAACATAAATAATTCAATAGCTCAGGTAATTTCCAACATAAAATGTATACCTGAGGAAATTAAAGAATGTGTGCTTTGATGGAGTGCTTATGTATAATTATTCACACATTTCCTTGTTTCTTTGTGTCAGCTCTTCTGAAACATTGCAGTCAACAGTGTAAAAGAGGTTTCTTGTCTTAACAAGGATCATTTTTCACACAGGGAAGTCTGTATAGAAGCCAAGACTATGTTTATCAGCTAGTTGTAGTTCTTTGGTATACCTGTGTAATATGTGGGTCTGTATTAAGGCCTACTACCAAGGAATTGTGGGAAGGTTGAAGAGATAGTAAGGTTGTAGATTTGAGGTGTTTCATTCCCTCATTATCTCCTCCTATTGACTGCAAACAGATTAAGATGGATCCAGAATTGCATGTGAAGAAAGGCCTTGAACTCAGCCAGGAAAACTCTGTTGATAGTACCTTAAGGGCACCTTCACATGTGATGTTTGGAGCATTCCAGGAGGAACTCCATGCCACTCAATGTTATCCTTGTTCAGCAGCTAAGCCTTCAGTTCAGCTGCCTGAATCTGAAATTGCTGCATCACTCATTTTGTTAAGCAATGTGATTCTATAGAGCTTGTTGACGGCCTGTTTCTTAGATAGCAGAAACTCTTCCCTTACCCTGATTCCCTGTTCCTGGAATACCATCACAACAACAGGTCTTTCAAATGGACAGTTGGCTTGACAGTTTTTCAGCTTCTCTGGCATCTCTGGATTTTTTTTTTTTTTTTGGCAGACACACGTCATGGAAGGGGAGTCCAGGTAATTAATTTTGCATCTCTTTAGTGTGGAATAGGGGTGAGACATTTTGCTGCTGCTGCTGCTGCAGGTCCCAGGGCTATCTGCAGGGGGAAGGTCAAAAAAAAGTCAAGATGTCAATCACAACTGTGTGATCGAAGTCATGCTTGTTTTTTATGTTTGTCACATAAGGGGGACAGCTGTGATAATGGCTGCCATCTTAACTTTTTTGACCCTCCCCCTGCAGACACCCCTGGGATTTGCAGCAACGTCAGTTGGGCAGTGACTTTTGCTCCTTCTCAGCACTCTGATGTCAGAGCAACAAAATAATTTGCAGATTTTCTTCAGTCTGAGCAGCTGGAGCTCCATGATATCCTAACGCACCTCACATGGTTACAGGGTAGCATTGTAGATCTAAAACCAGTAGCCTCTAGTTGAGTATGAACTGCTAAGATTCCATCAATTTTCTAAGTATCCACCATAGACAGAATGTTTCAACAATATAAAAATATTAAGCTCTAGGAGGGTGGGTTTTTTTTGTTTTGTTTTGTTTTGTTTTGTTTTAAAGCTTAATGAAGAAAAATGATGACCCAGAATGTTTTATGATGTACCTACTTATCTTAATTGACTGCATCAGCGAACCCAAGCATCTAAGCATGAGGAGTAACAACTTATTAAACAAGGCAAGTGAATCATGATACACTTCATGGTGATCTATCAGATGTAGTTGCCATACAAAAGCAGATCTGATTTAAACAAATTCTTCAAGTATTTTAACTCATAAACAAAAGAAGACATGGCAGATCTTAAATGGACTGAACATAGTTGTTCTAACCTTGCCAGTGTTTTGCTTGGCTTTTCATAACAGCAATTAATATAAAGAGTCCTTAAAGCGTGTCTGGATGT